GACTTGAAGGCTGAGGGGTTCCAAGATATTTAATTGATCGACGAACGCAAATTATTAAAATGAAACGGATTGTTGTGTCTGTAGTGCGCTTCCAAATTTTGTCGAACGAGGAAAACAAAAACTGTAAAAGCCGGAAATAATATTTCGTAGTTGGGCCCGTCGTGAACATGATTCGCCTTAGAGAATCTTTAAATGAATAAAAATGTACTCCGAAATCCGGACAATTTTCTCGAGGAAGGGATACTTGCCAACATTTCTAGACGAACTTGAAAAGATCATTTTTAAAATTTGTGATTTCTCGAACAAATAGCTTTTTATACCCACCAAATTGAAAAAACATTTTATTATGAATTCTTTATAATTCAAAATCTAAAACGGGCTGGTTTTTCTTTCTTACTTCAGAGTGCTTTCCAGCATCTGCGCACAATATCGGTAGAAAGTGTGCTGGATTCTTGCTTTCAGGGGTCCTTTGAATGCAAAAAGATATAATTTTTTTGTGGGTTTCTTCAGCGCAGTTATTTCATGTCTCTTGAAATTGAGAAAAATTATTTTATAAATTTTTTGGTGGAACTTTTTCCTAATTTTTGATTAACAGGAGAACCAAATGAAACTATTCCCATTGAAGTACTGCACAATATAAGGGAACACGTTGCGGACGTTCCGACGTGAAAAACAAGGTCCAACCAGTAATTACTTCCGCATCTCGGCCCCTTGTAATTAAAATGAATAAATTAACGAACTGGGTCCAGGCCACATCCCGATTTTGAGTAGTAATTTTCTTGAGAAAAGAAACACAAAGCCCGCAGAAAATATTTGATCCTTTTTTGTTGTCGGTGAAAATGCGGTCTAGGCATATACAAAACCTGGTGGTCAAAAGAAGTGCAGAATAAGATAAATTCTCAGGGAGCAATTTGAGGAAAAATTCGTCATGCAACTTTTTTCCTGCAAGTCCTGGATGGCAAAAACTAGTGGTGAGCATACTTTTTACTTTTTGAATCGCATAAATTAGAGTTCAGACTGTTTTAAACCACGTTTTCGGCCTAGACTCAAAAATCTGGAGTTGAGACCGCACCCAAGTTTTTCAGGGTAATTTTTTCAGAAAAAAAGGAAAGATAAAGCGACCTGTAAATGCAAATTATTTTTGGACGTTAAAAATTTTTGCTGCCAACTTTTCAAGTTTCTAAACTTCAATATCGTTCATAGTAATACAGTATCGAAAATCCTTGAAGTTAGTTAAACCTGTGAGACGTTTCCCAGTGGTTCAGAAAAAATTTCCAATTTCTAACTTGGATATAGTCCATCAACGTTCTGCTTGTTTGTTGTTGAATGAATTACAATTTTCAAGTCAACCTTGCTTTATATGACGTCTTTTCAACTGATCGTCCACAATATTGTCTGTTGAATCGGTTTATAAAAGAAGTGAAAGTGAATCTATGAAAATATATTTTTCACTGAAAGAAAGCTAGAAGTTCGAGGAGTTGAATAAGGCAAAAATTCGAAAAATTCTCATGAAGTGCATTTTGAATGGAATTTTGAACTACCTATACATCAATTCGTCCTGAATTATTCAAAGCTGCTGTTAATAACCAGGAGATTTTCCCAAAAAAAAATACTGTACTGTCTACCAAAGTACTGATGAAAAAAAAACCTACTCCATTGGCGTAGCTGCGGAATTTTCCCGGGAACTTCGTGTCACTAAACCAACCGACGAAGCATGGGGTTTTGTTTCTGTGGGGCGTCTGTTATCTGGAAAATTCCGGGTTCTGCGAATCGTTCTTTGGTGTGACACGAGGGGAACGTTCGGGAAGTGTCACGACGAGTGTAACGTATTCGTGAGTATAATTAACCACGCGACAGTTTTTTTTCCCCATCGTGATCGACGCCATGGTGAAAATGCCGCCGAAGAAAATTACATCAGTGGATATGAATTTCAGAGAGAAAATCATGCGGGGAAAAAATGAATGCGAGAAAGAATTGATGTGAAGGTTGAAAAAAAAAATAATTAATGTACTTGGCAGTACTCGGAGAAATAAATGAATGGGAAAATTCCGCGAAATACCTTGGGAATAAATTTTGAAGTCAGCCTGTCTGAACATGGATTGCTTTCATTTGTCAACAGTGATGTTGCAGCTCGTTTTGAATCAGTATTAAAAAAAAAANGTTCACGAAATTGTCGAGTTTGTCTCATAGGAACGCTTTTCTTGTTGACCTTTTTGACGGTCATTTTTCTCTGAGAACGCCGAACAATTGTTTGCATTCAGCCTTTTTTTGTTGTTGTTGCTATTCTCCGCATTGTTGAATACTGTAATTGAAAAATCTGGAATTTTGACTGTGCTTGACGAAAGACGGGGATCGAATTTGAAATGTGATCGATTGATGAAAAGCAGAAACGTTTTCCTCGAAGAATGGTTTACCGAAATTCGTGAAATCGTGGTGAAACGAGGTGTGTTTTATTGGGTCTTTTAATTATCAACTGTCGTGATTATTTATTTTGTGTGTTTTTTTACACTTTTTTGGGTTGTTTTTGTTCACTGTTGTTGATGTTTTTGTTGAATTTTACAGGATGTGCGTTGTTGGCGTGTAATCGGTTCGGTGCCCGCTGCAGCTATTTTTTTATTTTTTGTTTTTTAGACGTGGAATATTCGACGTGTTCAGTGAATCTACGTTTACGTGATGCCCAGTGAGGGTCACTGGTGCATTCTCTTGCTCGTGCACAAAGGAAACGAAGCTGTGTGATTTCCACGTCGGTTCGATCCGGTTTTCGGTTTTGTGTTGCTTCGACGGACGTTCGGATCTGATTAAGAAAACAAATTTGAGGTTTTCTAAACTTTTAAAATATTATTTTTAAAGAAAATTTTGGCATACTTTGCAGACACCAATTTCCTGTAATTAGTCCATCATGGGTTTCGTACGATTTAATTTTTTTTTCAGGATCTTGCAAGTGATGAAAAGCCTGTTTAATTTCATTGTAGGCTTTGAAAACCTAGTGGTGAATTTGTAGGTCTTCTTGATCAGTGAAGATGTAATACCGGTAAAAATGAATGGAGATACGACATATTTCAATCGCAATAACCTGTGGGAACAGGGAAGAAATGTCAACAGAATTTTTCATTTTCAGTTTTTATCTGCAATAGCACAATTTTTAGCGAAAAATGTTGGCCTGTAGACCTTTACTTCTCAACTAGCGGAATTACAGTATCTGTAAATACGCGAGATTTTCTGAGTTGGTCGGCTTTCTGAGGCGTGTCACATTGATACGAGAAGTGAATGTCAGATAGTGAAAGTGTCACTTGAAATTATTAGGAAAGGAGACAGCAAAATATCACGAATTTACGAATGATTCGCGGAAAAAATGACGGAAATCTCAGTAGGCGGAAATCTTGGTTTCTCGAGTGTTGGCATTTTTAAATACAGTAATGTCACTAAAAATTACTCTATCCTTAATTTGTGTTGGAAACGCGTTGTATTTGAAGAATGGAATGCTAAGAAGTCCAGAAGAAGGTCTAAAAGGTGTTCAGTCTAGTAAATTGTGGGTATATTATGTTTCTTTCATTCCCTCTAACCTTGACAAGAATCGTTTTATTCATTTTTCCAGAATGTTTTAGCTTTGTTGAGTGCAGTTTCGTAAATTGGTCCAAGACCTGGATGAAAGAGAATTTTAATGCCACTCGAAAATATTAGAAAGGAAGTGAAGTGAACATGGGGGCAACAGTTGGTGGAAATCTTAATTTCTCGAGTTCGTGTTTCGTGGGAGAATTTGAAATAACTCTCATCTATGCGTCTTTAATTTGAGCTGAAGACTATTTTTTTATGTTATCATGAAAATATTTTGATGTTTTTATTCGTTCGTTATTTACAGCAGTGCTCCCGAACCTTTTTGGGCCCGCGGACGGCAAATATGAAAAAAAAATTTGTCTGAAAGATTTTATGACAGGTATTTAAAAGTCTGCTTTTTTGTGTGCAAAAAGTGAGTGAAGAACCAATAAAGTAGCTGTAGTGGAATAACTTCAAAAAATTAAAAAGGTTGGCTTCAAGAAAGGTTTTTCAGAATGAAAAATTAATGTATTCTAGCAGGCGACAATTTGTCTGAAGTGTAATTAAGAGAAAAGCCAACTTATATTTTTTCATCAGATAATTTCAACTGCAATTGTCTTTCCAAAATTTCAGACAATGCTGGCAGACTCAATCTCTATTTTTAATTAATTTATTATGTCAAATAAATTTTTCCGCAGACCGGCAAAAAACTTCTGCTCAGCAGACCATGGATCTAGGATAAATCAAGACAGACAATTCAAGACAGAATATTTTTGAGACGGGGACAATTTGAGAGTGGAACTTTTTGAGACATGGACAAGTTGAGAAAAAAACTATTTAGAATTTAACTATTGAGAATTTGAGACATTTTGAGGCAAAATGACTTTACTATGTTTCTCCCATCATCGTATGTTTAAGATGTGAAAATGAACAAAAATTCCACTGTTTGGTGAAAAGTCTGTGATCCCAGGGTATTCTCCTTTTTGTCCATCATCATTGTTAAGTGAGTTTTCCTCATCAAGGAAAAACTCAAATCTTTGATCCAACCTAAGCAGATTCCACTCTTATTAAGATAGTTTTTGTCTTAATTTGTCCCTGTCTCAAATTGTTCTTGTCTCTGATTGTTTCTGTTTTGAATTGGCCCTGTCTCAAATTTTCTGTCTCCAGTTGTCCAGTCTCGAATTGTCAGTCTCAATTTGTCTGTATTCCAGGGACTAGGGTTTTGGGGAACACTGACTACAGCCTTGACATGATTCATTCCTTTTCTTTTCCCAGAATGTATTTCTCTCGCGCGTAATTGTCTATCTTTTATTTATTTTTATCTACCCTGCCCGATCCGAGGGCGCGAATCGTCGAGCCGACTGTTATGTGATATCGCGTCGGCAATCCCTTCGTGATCGTTCTCGCGGTTGTGTCGGAAGAAGAAGAATAAGACGAAGAAGAGAGAGAAAACTGCGAGAGGGATCATGCGTTTTAGCGCCACTCGATTCACTGCTGGGCGTTTCATCGCCACGCTGTGGATCGTCGTCGTCGTTGGCGGTGGTTCGTCGTTGGGTGTCGGGAGTGCGGAAGTGTTGTTCCTGGGCCAGAGCGACGGCGGGGAAACGGTAACGATTGTTGCGGGAGATGGAGCCGGGAACGGGTCTGCACTGGCTGGGAACTCGACTGGGTTCCGACACCGCGGCATGGGTTTCATTTATTCCCTGACGACGACCTTTCTCGAGGTCATCTTGCCGGGTCCCCGGTTCTTGCCCCAGTTCGTGGGCGACGTTTTGGTGGCGCACTCGGCATCTAGTCTGTCGCTAGGTGGAGCTAATCGCGAGGTTGGTGTTTCATTTTATGTACCGTAAATCCGTAATAATGTACTACCACTGTATTCAGTTGAACCACGATAACTCGAACCTCCCAAAGTCGAAAACCTCCGTAACTTGAATTTTTTTCTTGCCCATGTTCAAAGTTTTTTTTTAACACATGTAATCTGAAACTCCCTTATCCGATATGTTTCAACTGTGAACCTTCGAACTCAAAAATTTGAAAGACAAGGAATGACAGGAAATTCGAATGAGTAACGCTTTTTGGAAAGGATAATGAGCGACTTGAAGTGGTCCATAAAATCCTGGCTTAAGGTTCTGCATCCTGTGAACACTTTTGTACAGTACTACAGTTTCCTGTGGTTAGCAGTTTTTTATGCTTTGAGAATAATTAAGGAAATGCTTTTGGACACAAAAATGTATACACGATTGCAGAAACAATTTCAGTCGCAATTACAATGCTCCTTTTAAAATTTACAACAAGCATTTTCAGACCTAGTTTCCTTACCCTCTGTCACTCGAAACCTAAAGTCGAATTCTTTTTTGCTCTCTCCAAATTTGACTTGGGGAGGTCCGACTTGATACTGTACACGGTTCACAGTTGAACCTCAATAACTCAAACCTCCCAAAGTTGAATACCTCCCTGTATCGTTTTTTTTTCAATTCCTTCTTTGAATTCCCTTGAGAGTACTGCATTATAACCTATCTAAGTCGATTTTTGGAGGCAGTTGAAATGTAACTTGGTGTGCTTTTTAGATTAGTTCAACAGTAATTCGACAAAGGAACTCTTGCCTAAAAATTTAGTATTAAATCAACTCATTTAAGAAGCAATTAAAAACCCAGAATATCACCAATTACAATTTTCTGTACTTCTCCTTTTTTCCTTTAATACAAATCCTTGTTTCCCTAGCTCGGAATAGTTGATGTAATGCATTTGATATTGCATGTTTTTATTGTCGAATTGTTGACGCACCACGCGGAAGTGAAACTCGATTTTGTAGGCGTATGTATTCACGGAAAAGGCAAACGTTTAAAAATCACTTCTGAGTTGTTCGTTGGAAAATTGATTGAAAAGTCAATTGAAAGCTCTTTCCCACATACTTCTGATTTGAACGGTGGGACATTTACAGTACAGTATTGCCCTTTTTTCAATCTACTATAAAACCCCATATTTTTTTAGAGAACACATTTTCATTAATGGTTGATTTTGCAGCAACACTGAGGGGGTTAAGAGTAATATCTTGAAAATAAAATATTTTTGTAGAAGAGTTTATTTCAGATTTATGGAAGATCCACTGGAGCACGAAGCAACTTAATGTGTGCAGACTTCCGCTGTTGTTAAAAGCTTAGTGGGGAAAGCCAAATATTTTGCATTATTACGCTATTAATTTATATGATGTTAATTTTTTTAATCCATGATTGAACAAACTTTCCATACATGCTATATTATTGGAAGTTTGGATTTTTCACATAGAGTATTACATTTAGTTGCTGCTGAGCATGACATTTATTAATTTAAAGAAACTGTAAAAAAGTTTCTTATTTTCAGCGAAATGTTTTTCAAAAATAACTTGAATGAAGAGGTTTGGATCTGAAACTTGAGACAAAAATCTCATTAAATGCTGCACATATTTCTGATTCGGTGATGCTTTTCCTGGAACGGATGTGTTTTCAAGCGCTCCTTCAGATTGAAATTCAAATAATGTACTGTATCTGGAACGAAAATGAAGAATTAGCCCGATTTATGAATTAAACATGGAATGTCCTCATTATCTTCGCCGCTTTTCTGGGAAGCACCGAGCGGAAAACTCAAAATACTTTTGAGCACTGAAAGTGTGCGGGATCGATGAAGCTCACCACATTATTCGGAATAATTATTGAAGAGAAATGAACAAAAATCTCTTCCATTTTCTTCTTGAAGAAAATTCATAAGCAAATTCAATTCAAGGAATATCTACTTCGTTTTATAATTTTGCATAAACCGGTTTTGCAAGTGAAATTCTATTGTAAGGAGCTTTAAAAAAAATTACTGCTCCTGGAAAATGCTTTGAATCAAGCTTGCTTCTCAATGAAGATAACTCGAGTTTATTCTTGAAATACGAAGCTTTCATATTCATAAAAAGACGCACTTTTTTTATGAAGTACCAGTTTCTGGAGTAAAATAAGTTTTTTCGGTGATTGTACTTCATTTTTGCCGGCTTCTTTTGTAATATTTTCCATCCCTTGTCTTAGTCTAGTGCAGATAATTTTTAAAAATATTTATTTCAGCAATCAGAAGTGTATTCCTGTAATTATCGGCGGAATGGGGTTTGGATTTGTATCGTAATGAAAAGCCATGTCTGCGTATTTCTGAATGCAGCATACCTATCATACACTACTGACTTCCGCTAAATTTTCGTTCGTTTGTTGTGTGATACTTTTTATATGTTGGATCGAATTTTGTTTTAATGTGAGTGCATACGATTTTTTTTTTGTCGGGACGAAGACATTCTATTGTTATCATTGCATTCGTTGGAACACAAATTTTACTTCAACTAAATAAAAAAGAACGAGAAAAGCGGAAACTAGGTCACCATTCCTTAAATCTCGAGCATCAGAACTTTTCGACGTAAGACGCGAGGCGTTTATTTCTGTAAGTACTGAAAGTGTTGCACAAGAACCAGGAAGTTGACGTAGGAACTCAAGTATGGTGTAGTTCTTCAAGTTCCACTGTCATAAAGTTGACAGCCGTGTCGTTGCCTTGTTGACTGACGCATTTGACGAGATTTGTCTACAATTTTCCCGAAAACGTTCATCTTTTCACCGAGTCACGGCTCATTCTGACGGAAATTCTTCGGGAAAATCCGTGTTGAGTTATGGTTTTGATCTGAAGTGGAAAACCGGGAAATTCTTGTCCACGCTTGAGAATTACTAAGTTTTGAATAACTGTGATCGAGAGAATGAGTGCATGTTAGGCTACAAACGACCGCTGGTCGTAAAATCCCACATTTTATTAACTAGAAAATGGCTGGAAATGGAAACTCAATGTCTAAGGCTATCTTATTTGGAATATTCCATATCCTTGAAAGTTAGGTTTCCTGAAACCCTTTTCTCTTTCTTTTTTGGCACTTCGAACAAGTATTCAAATCATGCAGCTAAAAACTTTGGATTTAGACCAACTTTATAATACGGTGTCAAGTCACCCCGGTTGTAGCCCAACCAAATTTTCATGTTTTATTTCATATCTTCAAACATACCCTTCTTATTCTTGCCAAGCAGGGCCGACATTCAAAATTTGAGCATTTCGCAACTTTTTTCAGAAAATTCTTCTCCACTTGGTGATCCTTGAAATATAACGTTTATCAATAAATAATTAAAATTCGAAAGCGTTTGAAATCAATTCTGAGAGGGCCTGTTCATAAAGTAAGCTTGCATTGAAGCTTAACAAAAAATTCAAGAAAGATCTCCTTTAATTCTTTTGATTAATGAAGAACTCTGCATTTTCCTTGTAACGATTGTCATAAAAATTGCTGTTAATCCCGCCTTTGTTGAACAAGAATGTAGGGTTCACCTTAAGAGCAACTCGTGTGAAATCATGGTAGGAAATATAACACTGTCACTTGGACGCAAAACTGGATGAGAAACTGAATTTTCAAATCCATTTCCGGGCCAAATGGTTTCAGTTGAAATCACTGAAGTTGAGGCGGGAAAAAGTTGAGAGGGCTTCACGAACATGCATTGGACTAATCCTTGCACATATTCAGAAATACTCTTGTTTACTACCTTTACATGACGAGGCATTGAGACTTGAAAGATTTGTCGAAATATCCTCATTTCTTTGTTCAGTTCCACTCCAGTTGGCTGCCGACCGACTATTGTACCTTGCTCCAACAATTGCTGCAGTACGTGGCTGACCATGTATAAATCTTATCCGAGTTTTCGAGCGGAACTGAAGTGAATATTGCCTTGATAATACTTCAAATGAAAAAAAAGATACGTGTGCATTAAGAACACTATTGCCACTAAAGAAAAGAGTGGCTGACCATGTATAAATCTTATCCGAGTTTTCGAGCGGAACTGAAGTGAATATTGCCTTGATAATACTTCAAATGAAAAAAAAGATACGTGTGCATTAAGAACACTATTGCCACTAAAGAAAAGAATACCTTATCTTTAAAAGAAGGGTTGTGGTCATAAAATACAGGATGGCCCAATATTTAACTCGATCTTTTGCTGGACGTTCAATTGCTCTATTCGAGTTCTGCTTCACACTACTCCATTACCAACTGGAATTACCTTTTTATGCAGTTCCCGTTCAAGTGTGTCGAAATAATTGAGCTGCAAACAATCCGAATTGGCAACGCTGCGCATTCTCATGACTTCGTTCAGCCGAGCACATAAATACAAGTGTTCATTATATTGAGAATAATTTATTTTCCAAATTGTTCCGAAAAAATCCTGTCGCCGCCAACTGCTCATCATGTACTTGGAAAAGCTGTGTATGCTTGGAAGTATGGAAGCTATAAAAGAATTGATTGAAAATTCCTTGAAGTCATTTTAATGCCTCAAAGATTGCAAGAACAGATCAAGTCGTTGAGTAGAACTTGTTTGTTTACGGTGTAAAGGGAAATGCTCAGCGAAAAGACCTCTAGGAAAACTATTTTTAAAAAGAGTAAAATACGTTAGTCTCATTTCTTCTCCTTCCTGGTTCCAAGACGAGAGAGTCTGCCAGTTTCTCATTTTGTGATTGACCCTCGATAATTCAAACCCCCCTTTGTCGAATTTTTTTTAAAGTCCCTGTTTGAATTCCATTCGACTCGAAGCAATGAGAAGTTCTCTAAATAACTCGAAATTTCTGGAGGCCGTTTGGCTATTATTTTATTAGAACAAAAAGGGAAAAGCAATAAACAATTAAATTGACGGGTTTTGAAAGGAAGACGAATTGGGCGATTGAGCCCTTGCCTCCGAGTTTAGCATCCTGTCGACTCATTTAAAAAAGCAATTACAATTTCGTGTAATTCTTTTTTTTTTCAGGAAAAATGCTTGTTATCCTAAATCAAAGCCCGTCCCTTGACTCGATTTTTTAAATTTTCTGCTGGTCCCTTGAAGAGGTTCGACTGCCTTTTCTTTGTATTTTTTTTAATGTGCAGAATGTAAAATATATTGATTTCAATTAAGCTTGCGGCAAATGCGGCAAACGAGCCTACGATATTGAGGAGTTTGAGGAGAAGGGGGATGCGTGCAAACGCGGCTTTCTCAATCTGCTGCTTCTCGTGGTCATCGTTTTCCTGGCGTAAGTTTTTTTCCCTTTTTTTTAAAATGAAAATAATAATAATTATTATTATTCTTTCCATTGTTGTTGGAAGGAAATGAGTTCCTGCTTTCACCGGAAAGCTGCATACATTTTCTTGTGATCGGAGACTGGATTTCCGCTGTTGCGCAAATTTTATTCTTCTCCCCATTGGCAAGACTCGGGGAAATAACGTGCTTAAAACATTGAGTGTCGAAAGTAGTAGAAGTACCGATTATTACTTTTGCGGTGCGAGTGATTTAGATTTCAGGATAGGAATAGATTTTGAGGGACATATTCCATCGCTGTCAGGTAATGTTGCAATTGGGGTAGTTTAAGCCGGTTTGCTTTGGACCAGTGTTACCCAACCTTTTTGGGCCCGCGGAACGCTATATTTCCAGAAATTGTTTTGTGGACCGGTAAAGTTGAGTTTCATGAAATTTTTGTACAAGTCGAACCTCTCGAAGTCGAATTTCAAGGGACCTGAAAAACCCAACCTTTTTGGGCCCGCGGAACGCTATATTTCCAGAAATTGTTTTGTGGACCGGTAAAGTTGAGTTTCATGAAATTTTTGTACAAGTCGAAGGAGAGCTTCAGCTTAAAGTTCCCTGGACTTTTTTTTAAGCTGAATTTCTCTAAAACTGAAGCCCTCCAGTCCTTAAAATATCCAACCTTGACGTTATGTTTTGGGAAAAAAGACCTTTTGAACCTTCAAATATTAATGGAGATATTCTTAAGCTTAAATGGCTTCTTAAATGAGTTGAAAGGCTGCTGAACTTGGAGGCAGGGGTTTATTTTACCAATTAAGTCTTTCACTTCCTTTAAAATGCATAAGTTTCTGTTTTTAATGCTTTTTTCTTTATTTTTTTTTCCAAATAAATAATGGCCAACAGGCCAAAGAAAATTCGAAAGAAAATTCAAGGGGATTCAAAGGGAATCTGAAAAAAAATCGACTTAGGGAGGTATTGGACTTGGAGAGGTTTCGAGTTATCGAGGCCTTGTAGTATCAAAAAAGAGTTTTGCTTGAAAGACTTTATGACAGACGTTTGAAAATTTTCTGCATTTTTGCAAAAATTGAAAACTGATGAAGCAGCTGTATACTGTAATGTCTTCGAAAAAATATGAAAAAAAGGAATTAATTATTTCAGCGGATAAAAATTTGTCTGAAGTGCTATTTGGAGAAAAGCCAACTTGTTTTTTTTTTTCCATCAGATAAATTAAATTGCGATTGTCTTTCAAAAATTTCAGATAAAGAGAACAGACTTCATCGCTACTTCTGATAAATTTACTATGCTGGAGGAAATGTTCCACGGACCTGCAAAAAACTTCTGCGGACCGGCGTCGGTCCGCGGACCACGGGTTGGAAAATACTGATTTAGAAAGCTTGTCTTTTCATGAATTGAATTAAAGGGCGAGAAGATCGTTCCAGCGCGTTTTGATTATGGATAAATATCCGACAACTTTCTGATACTGTTTCGTGCTTCAATTGTTGAATGTACTGTATATATATATATATTTTTTTGTTGTTTTTCTGATGCCGAGGTGCAGCAATTAGATCATCGCTTTTTCATTTCTAGGTTTGGAGCTGTGGTCGTTCTCGTGAATGCCCAATTTGTGAAGGAAGGCTGCGACGAACTGCCGCCGAAAATGCGAGATTTTGTAGACGGGATCAACACGTACATGAACAGGAGTGCTCGAGAAGCCCGAGTTCTCATGATTGACAACTACAAAGATGTTCAAGACAGACTCTTTTCTGATCTCGATCGTAAGTTCTTCGGTCTCTGTTTATTTTTTCTAAATTCAGATATTTACATTGTTTTCCTGTAAGAAACAGTTCCTCCTGCAAGACTTGAGTTTGTTAGTTCTGACAATACCTTGAAATATGCTAATTCCGATGGGTTTCTGAATTTAGGGAAGAGACTTTTATTCATATGACGTCATCAATGAGCCTCATTCTGTTTCTGTTTAGTGCTACAGTATCTCCGCGCATTTGAATTACATTTGTATAGATATACAGGACTATAAATTGTACAATCGAATCAATGTCAGAAGTTGAACGACAGTATATTCACAAGGCGGATAAATTGTTATTCTTTGAAATCCTCAAAACCGCTGTGGGGCTATTACGAGTATGTAAAGCGAACTACTGTATTTGCTGACAATTTTTAACAATTAACAAGATTGAGCTCACAAATTTCATCTTGAGTTGATATTGACATCTAGCATGGCGATCGCAAACATTTCTATGAGCATTCCCAAGAATATTATTGTTCAATATGAGTAATAAGTGCCGGAATTAATTTTCACATTTTTTATAAATTTGATTCATTTAGTTGACTGCTAATGAGTGGAATACTGCCAGAAAAAAAGTATTTCTGCGTTGAATATTTTTTAAGTGAAAATCAATTCCGTCTTTGAAATTCGCTGATGAAGCGGAGTGTATGACTGGAAAACGTCTTTTAATGAACTCCCTTGAAAAGCAACTTTTCAGCATTGAACACCTGAAAAGGTTCTCAGAAAATTATGTTATGTGATTTTTTTCGAATTGAGCCTCCTACTTGTGTTCAATTAGGCACTGGGTTGATTGTGAGAGACTACATTGTCAACGTTTCGGGAGCGTACGCTGTGGATGAGTTGGCAGAGATTGCGGACGTTATTCCGAAAATTGGCACGGAGTTGGAGAATCTGCAGAGGATGCAAAGAGACGCTCAGACGAAACTCAGGGTTTTATCGACGGGTCTGAAAGAATTGCAAAGAACGATGGAGGATTTGAGGCGGTGTCCGGAAAAAATTTGCGACTCGCTTCTCGCTCAGTATCCGTTGGAAGATTTGCTGGTTACCGACGATCTTTTAGATGTAAGTGGGCGGCGAGAATCCTTGATTTTTACGTTTGGCTACATTTAAAAAAAAATGCATTCAATTATTTTCAAGCAAAAATGGTTCAGTGCCAAGGTGTTGTACATTTTTCTCTTTGGTCGAAAATCAAATTTAGATGCTTGATGCATTCCGTAATCATTTTATGCTCGACACTTGAAGTTCGTTTGACGTGTTTGCAATCTTTTTAATGATTAAAAAAAATCAGATCTGACATAAGTTTGTTTAAAATGTTATGAGTTCGAGTTGCTCTCCTTTTTTTAATAAGTACAGTATTATTTAAACTCTTCTTGATAAGAAGGGGTTGAGTATTCCGAAGAAAGTCTTCTTCGTATTACGATATTTTTTTTTATTGGAAAACTCACTTATTACTTGGATTTTGAGAAATGTCTGATGCCTTCTGAAACAGAAGAATATTCAAATTAAGTTTTGACATCTTTTTCGGCGACCTTTGAGTTGTATGGATTTGTGGGAACTTGGGCAAAACCCCACGGATCTTGAAGTAGGACCTTGAAAGAATTTTGAATTAATTCAAAAGTGAGAGAAGGATTTAAAGTTTTTGTCGTGAACCTGAATTAAAAACTCCAGACCTCACAGGAAAACGATTTTCGATTGTTGAAAATGTTCGTGTTTTTTTTCCTCAGCTACCAGATTTAACCGGAATAATAGGATCAGTGGAAGAATTGGTTGATGAAGGAATACTTCCGTTGGGGTGAGCTGAATGATTGTTCGCGGGAATTATTCAGGGATGCACATTTTAGCCTGGGAATCAGGTGTCCTCGTGGGCAATACTGTGCAAGTAAATGTAAAAACGTTTTATTCGTGACAGATTATTACCAAGTCGATTTCGAAGAATGAAAGTTACTTTCCTGAACCTAAGACGCCCAACTGAACATTTTAGACAGCGATGAGGTTTTTTCTGCTCGCTTGGGTTTCCTTGAAAGATATTTATTGTAGGAATCAATCAATGCGGAATTACTCGGAATTCGAAATATTTCATGTAAAATCAAATTCGTCAAAGGGGAAGGATAATGTACATTACAATACTGTACTTTGAATATACCGTATCAGGTATACCGTATTGATATGCATTTTCATTTTTGAATTTTTTCACGAATTATTCGGAAGAGCGCAAAGTCCTTGAAAAAAAATCTGCTTTCCCAAAAGGCTCAGAATTCTGTAATTTTTGCTCCTTGGTTGCTTTTTCCAGAAATTGGATTATTCTTGAAATAATCTTCTTCTTCTTTCTTATGTTGAGTTGTTCTTTTTAAATGGCGGCTTTCAGGGAAATATTCGGTAATTATTGAAGCATAGTTCATTACTAGAATGTTCTTGATGAACAACTACTGAACAAACGTGTTTCTTTGTTAGTTCGTACTAGCCCATATTTAGAATGAGGTAGAGCTTTTGCGAGTTCTAGATTGGATTGATAAGCTTAATTATCGTGGAAGATTGTTTTCACTCAAGAGCTGTCCGCGAAACAAAATACTGTACTGCATTCTTACTTTTTTAAATGTTGCCTCTTCTCTTCTAGGGTTTATGTGACGATCGGGATGGCGGGTGTTGTCATGCTCATCACTTGCATTTTGCTCATGGGACTCATATTTGGACTCTTCGGGACCCCGGTGCATCACTATTACGGAGAGGCTCATTGTTCGCGACGAACTGGTGCCCATTGCTACATTTTGTGAGTCCTCTTATTTTTCGTTCAATGAAAAAATACAGATGTTCACCTGGATGCCTCTTCCTCGACGTCATATTTTCGTTTTGTTGGGGTTGACTTGGGTAATGTTGATGAGATTCTGTGGAATTTGTTCAAGTTGCCGAGAGAAACTCTCCTACTTTGGACTAATTATCAGGTTGATGCTGACTGAAGAACCCTTGATTTTTTCATTGCTGAACTGTACTTTAAACCTCGAGAAATAGCTTTTTCGTCTTTTAAAATCGGAGTCAGCCCAAATCTGTGATATCTAATGGAATTTAATAATTTGAGGGCATTCTATAGAATTATGTTTCTAGTTTGAGATGCCCTGTAGTTTTTTACGCAACATTTGTTTTTAGCAAGAAGTGCGACCCGCTTGCGGCGACACCTGCCTCAATAAACGAAAAGCAGTCCAAGCGTTCAAGGAAAATTAATGCACTGGTCTTGTTTGATGAAGGAGAATAATTTCGATGTTTTAGCGCCGTTTATGCCATGATGTTGGTGCCGATGGTCGTCATGCTGGTGGCGACGATCTTCTTCGCCTTCGGTGCTGTGTCAAGCCGCATGGTTTGCACGACGCTGACGGAGTTTCCCGACAACTCTATTACCGAGGCTCTCAATCAGATCACAATTGCCAAAACCGTTGGCAGTCGGACGGTTGAAGTTCATCTGGTCGACCTCATGAAGTAAGTTTCTTTTCATTCCAGTCCCAACCATCGGTGCAATCATTGCGCGTGACTGACCACCGTGACGTTGTTGTGGTACGCGACCAACCGAAAAATGTGTAACTGTAATGCGCGAGGGTTATGTCATTAAATTTCAAGACTTCTGAAAGTATTTGAGAAAGATAGGCAAACTCTGAATGAAACTTGTGCATAAGCTGAAAAATCTACGAAGTTCGTTGCTTTGGACACAGTTTATCCGACTTTTGTTCGACTCTGACTAAATATAAAGTTTTGTTCGACTCGACCTATCATTCGTTCACGTACGAACGTATTGTATATATCTTGATCAATCTCAGTAAAGGCACCGACATTTTTCAGATTACTCTCATAAAAATGTCACGGGCGTGAATGTTCTTCTAAATCAAGAATCTGGTATGATCCGGAAAGAGTTCCTGTTTTCATTGATTTCTTTTTTCTTCAGACATTGCCATAGGAATCAAAGTATGAACGATGTGTTCAATTGGGGAGGATTGTGGAACATGGATAACTTGACCAGCCTACCTGTGAAGAATCAAGTGGACAAAAATATCTTAGATTTTATCAGCAAAATCGAACTGCCGAGACAACCATTGCGACTCATCAACGAAACAGCCAAGTCGCAGTTGGCGAGGTTCACGGAAGTTCAGATATTTGCTCTGAACATCGAGCTATACCGATCACTGGTAAACAAATGTTTTCAATGATTTTAAATACGATCATCATGTGGAATGTTTTCGGATGAAAGATTCGTGATGATAT